TTCAATCATCCGAAACATTCCTCTCTGAAAGTCATTCCATTGTACGTAATCATTTTCGTCTAATCTATATGTATCGATTTCTAAGTCAAGCCATTTTTCTTTGGCGAATTTTTGGACTTTATCAGCAACCGAAGACTTAATAGGGATATTTACGGTAACAAAATTTGGAAAAATTGAATATCTTTTACAGCTCTTTAGAAACCAAATATCTGCTTGTATTAGATTTGCTTTCTTCAAGATATTGGAGGTCGGATCCCGACTGAATCTTTTATACGTCTCTGGATCCACTAAGGCAATAATTTTCTCAATAAAATCCTTGGTATTCATCACAACGATGGCATTTCCTTTGTCAGTAGGCAATAGCAAGATATTTTTAACTGTATTGAGCTTTTTCAGCACCTCTCCTTCCCGTCGTGTTGTATTGGCCTTGGGTGGTTTGCGCATATCAGATTCCTCGACGTTTCTATGCGGATTTCCTCAGCAAAGTACGAATACCTGGTTCGACATCAGCAATGATGTCCTCGTGGGGTACCTTGGCTGGAGCTGCAGGGAAGTTCCCAACTTTGGCGAGTATGCCGCACTCGTCTTCTGACAGTTTCCGATCGGAGAAGTTGGCCACTGTTTATTGTACGGTGGTACATGATTTTTCTGGCTCTCACCCAGACTCCCGTATTTCTTTACATGGTTTTTGGTATTGGCTAATCTTGTGGTTTTCATCATGTCCATCATGAGACGGTTAATCTTGTCCCTCCAGTGCATCGAATTACCAAGTTCGATAGTAGGTAAGGTGCATCAGGTCCACGAGGGCTACTTTATGAATTTTAGTGAACCAAATAGACGTTGCGGAAAGGCTTCGGATTTTTGCAGGACTTCTTTTGTGCTCTCTCCAAGACTCGATGAACGAATAATAAAATTTGTTTTTCACAATATCCTGGAGGTCGGATCCCGACTGAACCTTTTATATGTCCCTAGATCCAGTAAGACGATAATTTTCTCAATAAAATCCTTAGTGTTCACCACGGTAATATTTCCTCTGTCAGTAGCAACACTTCCTTTGTCCCTTGTTATACTGTTCATTTTTTTTATTAGTTTATAAAAGTCTTAGTCTTTACGTTGGTAGTTTCTTCCATGATGGTTGAGTGCTGGTGAAATTTTCTGTGTATTGGTCAAACTGGCAGAATATTTAGAAATCGAATCCAGGAACATCATAGGAGCTATGTGAATGAGAAAACAAATTCAACATATTCAAATCATCTTGTAGAAGAACGTCAAATCTTCAACGAAGAGTTCGAAATTTTGCACATAGAAAATAAAGGTTTGAAACTGAATCAGGAAGCAATGCAAATTAATGAACTTGAAAATTCCAACATTCTAATGAATGACCAACTAGATTTGAATAGATCACTATTATTGAACTTGTTTTCTTAAAAACCGAGAAAGAATTATTATTGGTGTAGATGTGTAGACCAGGTGATCAAAATTGAACAGGTACGTTAAGTTCAGGTAATTATTTGGAGGTAGTGTCAATTATGGTTACCTGTAGTATATAAATATTAATGTAAGAACAACTTGAAGTATTTAAATCACTTGAAAAAGCTATTAGCGAAACATGTTGTGATATTTTTTTCAAATAAAGTTTGTGGGGATCAAATCGTCAGGTGTAGTTTTTGAAAAAAAGCTGGTGAAATTATTAGTCAATGATTAAATAGAAGATCATATGATTCAAATCGATATATTATAAAAACACTAATTAGGCAAAATTAAATTAGTATGAACACGTCTGAGGAAGCAAAACAAGTGTTGTGAATTCCTAAACTGTTTAGTATACATTTCACAATCAACTGTCACTTGAATACTAATTCGATGTTCACGAACTCGTGTATAAAATTCCATACAAGCGTCCTAATTTTGTAAATTTTTCCCCTCGAATACAAATATTTTCGTTATGTTAAAAATATTCTCGACTGTTTTTGTGTTATCGTTTCGGCGAAGAAAACAAGTGATAAAATGGTAAAACTCCTGGCTGAAAATCAAATTTCTCAGAACGAGACCTGAACAACAGATAAAGGAAGAGTGTATAAGTTAACAAAGCCATTCCCAAGTTCTTCCAGTTTCAAATCGAGGTTAAATGCCATATTTAAAGAGACACGGAGACGCCGTTTCGACGTCGTTCTGTTACGGCGTCGCTACGCGTCGAGACGCGCCTCTTCATTATCAGCATAGGCGGACGCGTCAACAAAATACTTTCCTGACATTCTCTTTCATCGCTTCGATTTCTCTTACGCAATTTCAGAACGCCGAGATAGTTCTAAGAAAGTTCCTGTCCTCGATTCGAATGACGCAATTAAAACTCTACAGGATGTTCCGAAAGCTGATCACCACAGGAATCCTCCTGAAATTGACTACGTTTTCATTATCTGTTTCTACTGATAGATATGGAACCTTGAGTGACACTCAGTTACTAAACAGTTTAGCTGAAAAGTTCGTCAGCTAGCATAGAAAAAAAAACAATTTTTTGGTGAAATTTTATTTGATTATTCCAGGGGTCTCCAAACTTTGAAGCCTTCGGGCCATAATGATTTTTTCAGTTTGTTCCAAGGGCCAATTTCTGCCATCAACTATATTTCTAGACTAGGATAGTCGCAAAGTGCGTGACCTACGCTTTTTTTGCATTTCAATTATTATTGTGTATTGTGACACTTTACGACATCTAGTGGCGAGTAGTGGTACTATGTACTATCTTTTTCAGCTCCCTGCTAGGTGGCATTAGGCGTAATTAAATATTTGGAATTACCGCGTTAGTTCGAGAAAGTTCTGGTTCTAGCTAGTGTATTCCGATCACCTCGAGATGGCAGTAATAATTGCATATAAAAAGACTAGCGGCGCAACTGCGAGTTAGTCTGCGTAGGAAAGGCGAAGGAAGCGAAACTGTCTACAGAAAATATATCATCTCAACTGTCTGACACAAATGGACATCATGAGTGGTTTTCTCTAGCACTGGATGAGTCAACGGATGTGTCAGATACTGCTCAGGTGTTGATTTTTATTTGCGAAGTAGATAAAAGCTATGAAGTGTGTGAAAAACTTCTTGATATTGATAGTATTCACGGCACGACAACTGGGGCAGATATTTTTAAGGGAGTTGAAAATGACATTAATAAAAAGAACCTTCGATGGAGAAATTTGAAATCTATAACAACTGATGGAGGCAAAAATATGTATGGTAAAAATAAAGGAGTGGTTGCACTTGTGTCAAAGGCTGTAGAAAATGATGGTGGTTCAAAACCATCAGTCTTACATTGTATCATCCATCAACAGTCCTTGTGCGGAAAATGTTCGGATATGTCTGAAGTTCAAAAACCAGTCAAAGTACACAAAGAATGTTTACTGTTACTTGTATTTTCATACTTGAAACTGTTTGCCTGATTTACAAAAAACATAACAACGCCGACAGGCGTTGGATATAATCCAACGCCCTTCGTGGTATTAGCCAGGGGAGTAGTTGTTTTTGATAGGAGTCATTCCATTAAACCTACTGTGTAGGTATATAGAGGCTGGCTTGAACGTTTGAAGTTCCATTTGCTTTAGACTAATTGCAGCTGTTTCTTATTTTTAGTGTTTTTTACGAAACATGCATATCGATACTTATCTAAGCAGGTGGTTTTTTTCGGAGCTTACAATTCTTATCTGAGGTTATTTTATGATAAAACTTACCGTTTTCCTGAAAATCGCGAAAAACCAATTTTTTTCGAGATTTTTGACCTTTGACCTCGAATAAATTTTTTTCCAGGCATCGCAATCATTCGGAATTTTAAAATCTTATTTGAATCTATGTTTTGAACAATTACACGCATTTTCAGCTTGTTGTAAATTTATGTACCTTCACTCTTATTTTTTTGTCTAATTTGACCGGATAAAAAATTGTTTTCCTTGTCGTTTAAATTGGCATTACAACAAGGTACTGAGAAATAATGAGAAAAGACATTGCCAATTATTTACTGGCACTTGGGGCAGAAAAGATTGGAACTCTTACAATTTTAGGAGTATATGAGCCTGGACAATTGTATTATTTTATTGAAGTGACGGCCAAACTGCAGACCCCCAAGCTATGGAATTTCCAACATATTTTCCATTAAAAGCTTATTTCTAACGACGCAACAAAAACTTTGAAGGAATTAAATTTCATCTGGGAAAAAACAGAACAGAAAATCGCTGTTATTCAATTATTTGCTGGATGACAGCAAAGGCAGATAAAAGGGTATCGACGTGAAAACTAACAATTAGTTTTCTCCTCAAGACGCCAACTTGGTTGGTAAAATGCTGAAGTTGGTAGAATTCTAATGATACTTAGAAGAGCTTGTTTTTAGATTTGATCCAAATTATTTCCAGATGCATAAGACGAGCATCCAAACGTGGCTTGAACTTACATAAACAAGCTAGCTATCAGATTGTTGGAATGGAAGAAAAATACAATGAGACTTCATAGGAATGAACAGATGGCTCTCAAGCAGTAGCAAAACAAACTCATTCAGAGAATATAGTCGATACATCCCGTAACTAGAGTGAACATTCCATAAAAGTATTTAGGAAAGGCATATGGTACTTTTTCGATAAGTTAGTTGTTTTTCTCCATCAAATTGGAACGGGAATAGACGTGATTGTCATCATCGATAAGATTGATAAGATAAACTGATTCGAATGTTATCAAACCATTCTCCGAAAATCATACATATTACATTCTCATAATTTCGCGCGATTGATTTCGGTTATAATTGAATGAAATGATATTTTGTTCAGCTAATTATAGGCTTTTTTGAATTCTTCAACTAAGACTCGATTTTGTGAGAGGAAGCACAAAATATTCAGTTTCAACAGAATTCAAGACACTGGGAGATTTTTGTTTTCCAAATAATTGATGTACATCTACATTCGAAAGGTAACGAAAAACTTGAAAGAATACTGAAAAGAATGAGTGGGATTATAATTGATGAGATACTTACTCATATAATCAATGTCACTCCCTCGGATAATTTTCACAATAAATTTTCATACTTGAGTATGAACACGTACGTCTATTACAGTGAAACACTTGATGCGTTTTTTGAAACTGTTCAGAAATAAAGTAATCCTTAAATACGTTTTGGTTTTTCACATATATAAATTTTTGCATTATTCCGTTTTAAAAACGTTTCATCATTTCATTGCATTTCAAAGAAATCAAAAGGGATTCACACAACCATATAAAATAAACATTTATCGCAAATATTTTATGATAGTCATAATCAACTAATTTATATGGGTGAGATTATATTTTACAAGATTTTTATCACAACTTTTCCAAGATTCGAGTGCAATTTCCGGATAATCTTTTATGACTCATTCGGTTTGATTTAAAAATTTCCCAGAAATATTTACAGAATATATTACGAAAAAATGATCAAGAGTCAAAGATTAAAATCAAATTTTCATCTTGTGGAATGATGAGGCCCTTGAGAAATTCAGTTGTAAAGGAAAATGTTGACGTAATCATTTTGAAAGTGATGTAATTGATACACAAGTTGATTGTTTCGAAAGTTTTGTCCGTTTATTATATTAAACAATATAGTAGACAGTAGAATTCATATAAATTGAGATATGGGCTACAAAAACACATGACATTAAAATGGACAAAACTTTTGAAACAACCGAATGCCTAATTCCTCAAATATGTGGCAAAGTTTGCGGTTACAGAGAAAAGAAATTGAAAGAAAATGGTAGAATTGTAATTATATGATTATCCCTTGATTATTCCTCATTTTATGATATCAATATCAAATTCAACATTTTCAATCCTCTAACAAGGATGAGGATTAAGATTCTTTCAGATCTGAAGGAATTTTGTATTGTATGCCCAATCACAAAAGCATGGCTTTCTTACTAATTATTATACTGTGTCAAATCTAGTTAGTATCACTACTTTGGAAGCATTCGATAACAATTATCAATTTTATGTAATATATACAGACTTCCCAGAGGCATTTGATTAAATTAGTATATAGTCCCATGTATCAGGTAGAGGGCAGTTCGTTTCTTATAGTGTTCACATATCTAGTTACTTCTGGTGTTTCCCAGGGCTCCTTCATTCTTAAAAAATGCAGGAACTTTCAAAGAATTGAAGCTTTACGACTCTTCAAAGAGTTCCGAAATACAGTTAAAGATATTTTAATCAAAAAAGAGTATTTTTCTATCCATGAATTCAACAGTGATAACCTGTAAATTCTACTTGATTTTTCAATGTTCACCTAAACTCATCTGTCTTCTCAATGTTTTATTTGTGAAATTGTTGTTTGTACTTGTTATATTTTATGACATGTAGTGTATTTTGTATATTTTACGACATGCACTTCATTTTTTTNAGTCTATTATATCCGCATAATATTCTTCCAAACTATAATAGGTTCTATCGGAAAGAACTCTTTTTACAGCTTTTCTGAAGCCAGTGTTGGACTGTATATTTTTGATATAATTTGGAAGGTGGTTGTACATCTTGCAGCCGTTATATATAATGGAGTCCTTAACTAGAGTGGAATATGGTAAAGGTAGTTTGATATGGTCACTTTGGCGGGCGGCATACATATTTAGTAACGAGAAGTTATTCAATTCTAATTGATCATTCAGTAAATTACCTGAATTCTTGAATTTATTGATTTCTGAACATTCTAGAAGATTGAGTTTCGAACTCTTCTCTTCTAAATGTAACACATCGTATTCATGATTGAACTCATGTCCTTCTTCTAAAAAGTGGTTGTTTGCAAATGTGGAATTGGTCTTTCTATTTACAAAACTACTACTATGCTTTTTAATTCTTTGGGAAAATGTTCTCCCTGTTTGGCCAATATTCAATTTTGGGCGAGAGCCATAAGTCAGCTTATATAACTTACTATTTCTGAAACCAAAACAAGCACTGCCCCCAACGGGCGTCGGGAAGTGTGTTGCAGTTCTGGTATTTGGGGGCAATGCTTATTTTTGATATATTCTACACCAAAGGTTTTATTTATACCCTTCACGGTGTCCGAACTTGAAGAAAGCTATTAAAATGCCAAAACAATCAAATAACCTTCTGATTCCTGAAAACTACAAAATGTATTTCTTGGGCTTTTTCATCTCCAAGTTTTTTCTGTGAAAGGAATATATTCGTCGAAGGCTATATACAAAATTGATTTAGATGATTATTACTTGAAATCATAACTCATTGCTCTTTGGTAATATAGGTTGATTATAGCGAAATAATCTTCAATGTTCACATATTTATCAGAATTTTGTTTGTTTTCGCAGATAATATTGTTCTATTATCGAGAGCAATGTGTTTTCTAGATAATTTGAGGTCATTTGATATAAAAACAGGTGTGACGTGTGAATTGCAAAAACATTGAATATATTGGTGAAATTTTTCAACCCTCTCAATGCTTATTCAATATAATTTTCTAAGCTTTGTATACATCAAAGGTTCAACCCTTACAAACTATTCATTCAGACAATACAAATATTGTTTGGATAGAAAGATATTTCTAAAATGAATTTAAATTAATTGTCACCGAATAAAAAATGAAAGTCTTTGAAACGATACCCCGGAGATGGCGTAAATCACGGCGTCAATCGATGTCATAATTTATTTCATCTAGTTCCCACACATGTTCATGCATATGTCGTGGTAATAACATAATTTTTAAAGGTTTGACATTGAAGATGTTACATATTTGAACTTGAGCGAAAGAGCATAATAATCAATCAACTATGTTAGAAAACCCTGAATCAATTCATTATCAAAATCTCAACTTGTTGACAAAAAAAATTGAATGTTTAAAAATATTCACATAACCTTCTCGACTAAAAGAAACCTATCTGTCGAATTTGGTAATCATTTCATTCGACAAAAGTGTAGTTCTTCAGTGATCATTATCAAAAACAAGTGCTGAAGTAAATTAGAAAAGTCAGTAGAAGATACCATGTACGAAATACATCACTGACAATCCACAATCACAATAAGAAAAGTAACAATAAACAGTTTCGTAAACTAACTTAGAAAAAAAATCATAAAGTTTTATTTCATTATTCAATATAGATAGATTCAAGTACGATACAAATATTATAGCAGTCATGCAATTTTTCGATATCAGTTTTATAACTAATTAATACAGTTTATTGTATGATTTTCA